CTTTTCCGCAATGACAAAAATTCTCTTTTTAAATTCAGAAGGGTTATTGTTGAGTTTCACCGATATACTTTAGTCTTAAAAAATATTTCCTTTAATTTTTTCTGTAACGATATATTCTTTGCGCCTGTACAAGTCACTGTGTTTTCCTGATCAGAAACCAAACGGGTTATGACCCATCTAAAAAAGTTATCATTTTGACTGATTAGTGATGTGGTGTTGTTGCATTGGGATTTTGGGTTTGTAGCAAAAAGATCAGAGGTTTGGTAAAGAAATGGGGAGAAAAAAGAAGGTTATAAATAAGGATGAATCGGCAGAGGGCTGCTGTTTTGTTTGCAAAGATGGAGGAACTCTACGGGTTTGTGATTACAAGTAAGTTTCTTTCTATGTTATTCCAAGTTTTTGTATGCGTTTGAGAACAAAAAGAATGAGATTTTGTCTGTTTGCGAAGATGGGGTCTCTCAGAATCTGAGATTTTGGGGTACCCCATGTGTTTTCTTCTTTATGATGGTAGGACCCCAATTTTGAATTTATTTTTTTTACTGTTTAAAGGCAAACTGCAAGGTCAAGAATCGAGATTAAGCCTTTATCTTGCTTGGAGCTCATGATGATGAGCAGTTCTGTCTTGGCACATTGTTGGTGGGATATATGAGGTTGTTTATTTATTAGTTTATAGTTTATTTTTTTCAAAGAAAAAATATTTTCCTTCTTTTAATATACCAAATTCTTTTCCACTGATTGGGATTTTTTTGTGTGGACGAGTAATCCTCCAGATGCCACAACGTTGTTTACTTGTCACAATTTGACAATCATGTTTTATCAAGTCACATGCATCGCATAAAAACATGTGCCGGTCCATCTTCAAATTCTTTGCAATATTCACACTTTGATTCTTCACTATTCATCAATGTGTGTCACGGGGCTGATAAGCATGAAGGGTACATTTATTTTTTTTTAGCTTCTGAAAAAAAAAAACACGAATAGTTATCATATATGCTACTTGTATTGTATTGTATTGTTAGTTGTTGGTGGCAATTTTTCCATAGCAATGGTTGCTTAATACTCCCATGGTTACCTGGCATGGATTAACTATCGATTTTCTCAATCTCTTTCCTTGTATGAACATGCTTGCAGATTGCGTAATCCAGGTGGGTCGAATCATCATTAAATTCCTCAATTCGAAAATCATATTTGTGTCAATTTGTGCCAGTGTCTAGTGCATCATCTACCAGTGTCTAGTCCATCATCTATATGGATATGAATGCATGAGTACAACGACAACGTAAAGCTATACGAGACATAAGGAAAATCCGTTTATTTCCCTGTTCAATCCGCAACGACAACGTAAAGCTATACGAGACATACGGAAAATCCGTTTATTTCCCTGTTCAATCACTTTTGCTTCACAAAACTGTTCTTACTTGCAAGTGGGTATTCAGAGGGGACCTCACAGAGCATTATTATTACCTGAAAGCCATAATGCTGAGTATAAGTATGTTGCCTCATTCGCTTCTAGTTTCTCCCACTAGCTTAACTGGATTATGTAATCAGCAATTCCAGTTCCTTTCTAAGGTTGAGATTTGTCCTAGGTGCACTTGCAAGATGCTTGCTGCACATGGACGTGTGTCTTACATAAGCTTGTACATCCCATCTTTTTTTCCCCGTAGTTCTTGATTAAGAACGATGATTGTTAAGATTCTTACATTTTTTGGTGCTGGTGGGGTTGTCTATTCATCAACTAGTTTCTTTCTTTCAGAGATTGCCTTAAAGCTTATCACCCTATCTGCGTGGAAAAAAATGATAATTTCCTGGAGAGTGAAGTTCCCTGGAGCTGCAGTAAGTTGCTTATTTTACATATATTCATCCAGTGTATTGTACCAAGGAGATGTAAGCCTAAGAATTGCTTCCTTCGAGTCAATTCATGTTCCTCCCTGGTCTTTCTACTTCTGTTTGAAGAATTTTCATATTTTTATTTTCATACCATGTTTACTCTCTCTTATGGTTTATTAAAACAACTTGGCATCAGTAATTAGTGTTGCCTCAAGCACTTTGCATGTGACAGAGGACTTCTTTTTGGTAACTTCACAGATGTGTTTTATCTGTGATAGAACTTCTTTCTGATTTTCGTAAACCATCCGGAGTAGATATTAATCCTCCATCACTGTATTAGGACAGTATTGGTGCAGTTCTTTTGTTAACAAAATAGACTTTCAGCACTCTGCATCTTGATTTTTTTCCCCTGTATGATTGTATCATTTCTGGAATACTGTTCAGCTTATAAGATAATGAATTTAAATATCAGATTGGCATTCTTGCTTCATTTGCAAGAAGTCTGCAACGTTCAATTGCTTATGTTGTCCAAATGCTGTGTGCGGGTGCTGCCTCCGTGATGCTAATTTAGCGATAATTAAAGCGAAAAGTGGATTCTGCTATCACTGTTCAACTCTTGCTGGAATTTTAGAAGGAGTAATAGACTTGAATGAGGTATGCATTGTTTCTAAAATGAATAAATGTCTGAATTTTGTTAGTTGCTTACTTGGGCACTATTATTCACCATGTTGCTTATAGTAAAAAAAATGCCTTGTTTGAAGCCAGATATGCTACTAGGACTAGAAAGATTTTGCAGTTATTTAAGCAATTCAAACTCTTGCTTTGGGAATATCCATATTGTCCTTTATTTTCAAATAAAAGAGAAGATGAAAAGTGACTCTAGATTAGTGGAGTTAATTGGTATGCTCATATATTCAGTAGTTTCCTAGTAGCATTAGAAGGTTTTCTAACTAAAAGATGAATATAGCTGTTATAGAAAGCTTCTTTATTTCAGTTCTTCCGTTTGACTTGTCCAAATCTAAGCTTAGCTTCCTTATTCCATTTTTTCTCATTGTCTGTATGCTTTATGGTCCACAGCCGAAGGTAAACCTCAGCCTTGAAGACTCCTATGAGTTTCTGTTCAAGTGTTATTGGGAATATATTAAAGAGAAAGAAGGGATAACTTCAGAACATGTCAAGTATGCAAATTATCTTTTGAATGACAATAGGAATTATGACTCTAATTTAAGTGATAATTATGTTGAAGAAGAAGGACTTAGTGATTTTGAAGATCAACTTACCATGACTTATAGATTGAATGATGTGAAAGAGCATAAACCAAGTCACAGTAGAAAGAGAAGCAAGGGAAAGCCATGTGTAGCAAAAAGAAAGGAAAGATCAAAGACTAAGATGTTCCTTGGTTGGGGATCAAAATGCCTATTTGAATTCCTTACATCCATCGGTCAGGAAACAAACAAAGAATTATCACAACATGATGTGACCATTATTATTTTTGGGTATTGCAGAGATAACAATCTTCTTGACCCACTGAAGAGAAAAAATATTCTTTGTGATGAAAAACTACGCTCTCTTCTGGGAAGGAAGTTTGTCAATAAGAATAGCATATATAAGCTATTGACAAAACATTTTGCCAAGAACTTGGAAGAGTCACAGAATGAGTTTGTAAACAGCTTAGAAGCAGAGGGTCAGGATGCATTATCACCTTGTAAAAGGAAGAAAAACTCAAGTTGGGAAGGAAAGTCTCAGAATAAGAAAGTAGTTTCAGATATGCAACGCAGCTGTTTTGCATCTGTCATACCTAGGAATATCAAACTTGTCTATCTGCGGAGGAGTGCACTTGAGGAACTGTCAAAGCAGCCAGAGATCTTTGATGCTATTGTAATGGGTAGTTTTGTGAGAGCGAAAACTGATCCTAATGATTGGATGCAGAAAAACTCTCATCAGCTCGTGCAAGTGATAGGTAACGGTCCCACTTGCAGTTTTTGACTCAAGTAATATACTTCATCTATCTCCGTTATGTAGGTTGATTAAATTACTTAATTCTCCGGGTTATAAATAGTTTTGCTCTTTTTTATAAATATAAATACCATGATCCCTTAAGCAAGCACTGGATTTAAGCTAATAAAATGGTCAAACGTGTGTCTTTCCTGTATTATTTGTTAGTTTGAATTTCTTTTCTTTTTCACTATATTCAAAAGAATAAATTATAAAGTTTTAGAACGTGAGTTTTAAGGATAATAACCAAGATAATTGCACCATGTTTTAAAAGGGCTAGTGAGTACTAAGTTGAAGCTAGATTAATAAAAATAAACTTACTTTATAAATAAGTATAGAATAAAAGCTGGCCCTAGTTTCAATGCTGAATAAATCATGGGTTTTAAATGCATTAACCTTCCTTTTTAGCTGAGGATCTTTTGCATAGCCCTGTATTGGGATCTTTTGACTTGGTCATGTATAGTCAAAAGTTTAAATCATGTGGCTTCTTTGGCAACAACTTAAGCAGCAGGTGCTTCTTTTTTCTTTATGGATTAACAATATTCTGTGAAACATAAAATGTGTGAAATATGTACAGATATAGGACTAGCCAGGGGTTCCTGTACATATATCTGTAAGTTCCGGATCGCATAAAATACTAATTACCCAATTAATCGAAGCATATTTCCTACTAGTTACTGACCTTCAATTCTCACTACATTGCTTCCATGCCTGCATCACCCTACTGAAGGCCGTGTTGCTTTCATCTGATCATCAGAATCTGTAGAATTTAATTTTCTGCATCTCTAAGAACTACGTGAATGCAATTGCTTTGAAGTAAGTGAAACTTTGAAGAAGAATTTACTTTACCACTAACTAATAATTTAACTCAGGTTCACTCATTTGTTCCCATAACACTGATGAAACCTGATGATTTGAGATGGGTAGCTCCAAAAATCCAGTTGAAATCAGTTTCAAACTCAAGTAATTATGTGTTTCTAATCAGTTTCAAACTCAAGTAATTATGTGTAACATTTTAGTTGTTTGGATCCTACAATCCATTTATCTGAGATGAGTAGCACAAAAAATCCAGTTGATTTCAGTGCAAACTCTAGTAATTCTGTGTTTCTCTTCTTCTTCTTTTTTTGGTATCTTACAATCCATTTAATATGTTGTTTTATCTCTGTTTGTTCAGATATCAAACTAGATAACAAGATAGAATCGTTGTTTAACTGTGGAAGAGAATGATTTGCTTACAATTTTCCTCTAATTAAAAATCAACTTGTCATTTTTTCCCCTTAATGATTATAGTGTACAGCTACAGGCATAAAGAGAACTTCAATAAATGGAGAAGAGAATTCAGATATTCTCCTGCAACTTTCCAATAGAGTGTCAGATGTACCGATTTCCAAAGTATCAGAAAATGATTTCTCCGAGGTGTGCAATTTGATCGTCTTTTTAACCATATTGAATCTAGCAATATTTGGAAGACCAGTCTATTCATGACCTTTTCTGACCATTTTATGTTGTCAAACTAAATGTGTTTTTTTATCGGTTAAATTCAACCAGTTGACAAATATTCAAAATATATGCTATTTTCTAAGATAAATATTTGGATTTTTAGAGTTGACTGAAATCCAGAATTATATGCTTGGAGTTGCCTACTTGCAAGGATCTTTTCCCAGTTAATCATAAATTATTTTAACAATTGGTTTCACTTTATCTTTTAAATCTCTGTTTCAAAATGATATGTTCAAAATTCAGAAATTAAACCCTCTTAAAACATTGAAAGTCACAGCACTTTCTGGTTTTCCATTCCCTTTTTCAAAGATAATGTACTGGTTTGCACTTTTTTATTTTGCAGGAAGAGTGTCAGGATTTGCATCAGAGAGTGAAAGATGGCCTGCTTAGAAGGCCTAATGTTGTAAGTTTTTCAATTGTTAAGTAATTCAATTTTTCAAAACATCATTTTTTTTAGCAAGAGGAGTAGAGTATTATTGAAAACTTTGCCACAGTACATTAGCTTCTACAAATGTGCCAGCTGCCATAGTTAACTGAATTCTGCCAATGGAATGGATTAATGGAGTTGTGATAGCATTGATACTTAGAATTTATGCATGTTCTTCTCATAAGCAACTTTGTTGCCATGAAGAAATTTTCATTAGATGCTTCTACTTCTGTTTTCCTCTAATTTCATGAAGAAATTTTCATTAGATGCTTCTACTTCTTTTTACCTCTAATTTCTCACTTTTGATGAGGACCAGCTACTAATCTCCCTTGTACATGATTTTCTTCTCTTAATCAAAACTCGTCAAAATGCATACAATTGGCATAAAGTTTATTGGCCTGTAAATGCATATCTACTATACGATCATTAACTAAAATAGGTCTATGGTTAACTAATTGGTGGGGCTTGAGGAATAGTTGACGCCATACCTAGTCAAAAAAGGATGTTATCCAAACATGTTTCAAGTAATTGTAGTAAAAACTAACCCGTTGACCCTTTGGCTTTTGCGGTGATATGAACGTGTTTAAGCAATTTTCAAGTATGAGCATTGAGTTCCAACAACATTTCTTCAAAAAGATGTGTGGTATGCAGATTTTAAGATGTATGTATTATGTTTCTTTTTCTGATTTTGGGCAGGTAAAATATGTTTGTCTCTGGATGGTATAATCTGCACATTCCATGCTGTAATGAGGGTCTCCTCTTATACCAATATCTGACACAAATCCTTTGATTGACAGGCAGAGTTTGAGGAGAAGGCCAGAAGTCTCCACGAGATTATAACAAAAAATGTACGTATCTTCTGACAAATGTCTAAATATATAGGAATTGCAATGTCTTAAAGATAATGGATGAATGAAACAAATGTTCAAAACATTAAACAAATTAATAAAAGAAGAAGAAAATATGGAGCAGCTGAGAAGGAACAAAAATTTGCTGAACATAGCCAATTAGGTGATTACATTGAGTTATAAGAAGCTAATTTATTGGTGTATTCTCTGAATTTGAAAGTAATAAAGATGAGTGCGAATGTTTTTTTTTTATGAATTTTTAAATTCAATGTCCATTTGGAATGGATCAAGCAGCTTTCTTTCTTTCTTTCTTTTTTGGTTCTTGTGGAAACTAGAAAATTCTTTTGTCGTGTACATAGCTTTACCAAAAAAAGCTTGTTTTCCAGATGATTTTCTCTCATTCTGTATTTTTTTTTTTGGAGGGTTTTGTGTCTGTGTTTGGTGCTTCCCTTTTTCTGATTTTGCTGATTTCTTTGTCGCAATGAAATATCCTAGTGGATTGCCAAAGAACTGGTTGCACTATCAAATCTCATTAATCAGGCAAACGAGAAGGGATGGAGAAAAGAATATCCTTTGATGATTTTGATTTCCTGCACAATTGGGGTTAAATATGTTGAATTCAAGCAATGATATGAACTGCTCATAACATTTTTCTTAGCTCATGTATTCTATTAATTGGAAATTGCACAATCGAAACACATTAAATAATCTTTCCTTTCCTCTTCTTTCCTTTTTGGGTGTTGGTCAAGGGTCCCGTGTGCCTGCAGGTCAAATGTTAGGTGGTTGATCTCCAGAACAAATAATTTACTGTACTTATATCAATTTAAAGGAAATGCGACCCTTAACCATCATATTGCATACGTTTTCTGAGTACATGGACAGAAAGCTTCTACTTCAGACACCCGTAGAACAAACACGATTGTTACAAGAAGTTCCAGAAGTAATTGCAGATGAAATAGAAGTTCAAACTGCATGTAAGGACATGTCTAGGAAGGATGAGCAAACTGACGTGCCAAAATCAGCCCTTAAAGGGGCATCACAACCTCCCAAAAGAAGTTCAGAAGGCATTAAAGGTTCTTCTTGCTGCCTGGATGATGGAGCAAATGGTGCAGGTTTGCTAGTCAGCTCATATTTCCTTATTTCCATAAATAAATTCTACAAACTATTGCCTCTATGGAGAGTTGTTAAATTCTGACTTCTCACTTTATTTCATAATGAATTGTTGAATATATACAGCATTTACATATCTATATTAGGACAGCTATTAACTACACATAAATAGGTATTATTGCTAGGTTCTGATTTATAGGAAAGGATATTTGACTTTCTGTTTTTACTCCCAACAAATCAGCTTCAAATCTGCCATAATTACTTCAAAATCTTCAACACTCCCCCTCAAGCTGGATGGAAGAGATCTTTCATTCCCATTTTCCAGGAGTAGACTTCAAGTATCTGAGGAGTCTATACACTGCCTGGAGATGTGAATCTTTCGGGTTGTGCATAAATTGACTCACCACACTCACGGCATAAGCAATGTCTGGACGAGTGTGAGCTAAGTAGATCAATTTACCAACTAACCTTTGGTATTGACCCTTGTCAATTGTAGCTCCTTCCTCATCATTCTCAAGTCTGTGCTTTAGATCAATAGGTGTTTCACATGGTCTGCAGTCAATCATTCTTGTTTTCTTTTAAAGGTCAAGAATATACTTC